CCCCAAAACCCCAAAACCCCAAAACCCCAAAACCCCGTTTTTAGGGTTATAGATAGAAAATTTAGTATAAAATACGTGCAGAACAACATGGCTTTTAGATATCTAACTTCATTCTGAGATAGTTATGTGATATCTCCACAGAAAAGGAAGGATTGTCAGGCAGTAGGGTTTACTTTCATGAATACGGTCAGGACTATTCCAATTATTAGTTTCTGTGTTATGGATTATATCTACACTCTTCATGGGGTGGAGTACGGGACGAAGAAGTATTTTCAATTCAATCTGAACTTAATACTCGCGTAGCCAATAGGCTTTTGAGATTATTTGTCAAGAATAGAGGCATTTATATAAAGGCAGGCCAATATATTGGTTCACTTGAGTCAATCGCTCCAAAGGAATACGTACAAGTTTTCAAAGTTTTACAAGATGAAGGCCCCAGTATTAGCTATGACGATATTAAAATTGTTATTGAGCATGATTTTGGCAAGAAGATAGATCAAATTTTCACAACTTTTGACCAGCAGCCCATAGCTGCTGCCTCTCTTGCCCAAGTCCATAAGGCTGTGTTGAAAGAAAATGGAGAAACCGTGGCGGTTAAGGTTCAGTTCCCAACACTTAAGTTACAGACTTATTATGACATGAAAGTTGCCTCTTTTTGGGTAAGAACAATTGATAAAGTAGCGAAATTTCTCGAATTTAAAGGAGTAAATCTCGAAAAATTGTATAACGATTTCCAGGAATCTCGAATTACTGAGCTTGATTTTGACCTTGAACTGGAGAATGGGCTTAAAACCACTCGTAATTTTCATGATGATGATCGAGTTTACATCCCAAAATTCTATACAAAGTATTGTGGACCGAGGACAGTTACAATGGAGTTCATTGATAATGCATTCAGGATTGATGATGTTGAGAATATTAAGAAGAAGTATAAAGAGAAAACTACTCCCTATGTCAGCCAAGCCTTGATTGATATCTTTGCAAAGCAGATCTTTCTCTACGGACTTGTGCATTCTGATGGCCATCCAGGGAACATTTTGGTTAGGGATCATCCCTCTGACAACTCACGACCTCAGATTGTGCTTCTTGACCATGGCCATTATTGTGAAGTTGGCAAAGAATTTAGACTAAAGTTTTGTCGTCTTTGGTACCATTTGTGCACTTTCAACTATGCTAAGGTAAAGGAAATTGCCAAAGAATTTGGAATAGACACTCATTACAAATACCTTCCCTTAATTTTCACTTATCGAACAATGAACAGCCACAAATGCCTCGGTGAGAAGATGACCAGCGAAGAAATTGAGATGCTACGCAGAAACGATGACTTAAATCTTGAAAATATCGGTAATCTCATGCTTAACACCCTTTATAGGATTCTTGGTCCAGAAATTGCCTTGGGATATTATACTAATTTTTAAAGCCACGCATTTGATCACAGTGCATATCTCAAAATTTGACTCAACAGATCGAACAAAGTTGTTGAGATTCACAGATTATTGCATGGAAGGGCTGACTAATTCAACCAATTCAGTTGCTTTCTGGATGCTCAAATTGTCTCTCTACCTCAAGATCTTGATGTTTGAGTACTGATATCCTCTTTATAAAGCAATTTATGGCCATGCTGCCCATCATCAGGAGTAATGAGGTTTTGGTCAATTCAATTGTATTCTAGCCTAAAGGGGTTTTGGGGTTTTGGGGTTTTGGGGGTTTGGGG